TCTTCTTTCTTTGCGTAACATTTATGCATCTATATGAATTGGATGCAATGGCCGACGTGTCATCGTGGTGACACAACGATGAAGTATTAAGACCTGGTCACTCAACGATATTAATAAATTTATTCAATAAAATTCAGTATTTTATTTGTTTATATAAATAAATCAATCTCATATACAACAACAAGTAAGAACTTGTTTTATTTTTATTAATAGTTCCTTCAAGCAGTTCCTTTTAATCGAAAGTATTGTTACATTAATTTTCAATTAATGTAGCAAGGTTTATTAGATCTCTACAATTTTGTTACATAAATAAATATCGTTCAATTATTACAGATTATAAAATCAAAAATTTAATTCACAATATACCCTTTTATTTTTTCTTTTAATTAATAAATTTCTTGTTAAACGTTTTCAATGTATATAAATTTATTGTAAAACATTTTTAGTATAAATAATTTAATTTAAGTAAAGTTAGTATAAGTTTATTAATTAATATTTTTAATACGTTTCTTATTAAATATTTTTAATCTACAAAATTTTTTACGAAACATTTTCAATCTACATATTTCTTATAAAACATTTTTAGTTTTTAAAAAATTTTTTTAAATAACCGTGGATGCTATCATGCATTCACTATAACAAAATGACTCCCAGTCAAGATTTAATTAAAGAAATAAATAATGTAGAATAGTTAAGGGTAACTAGAAGCTTATGTAGATTTTTAAGAATAAAGAGAGAGATTAAGTACACCTGAAGGCATTAATTCATATTTAAGGCCGTGGTCATGAAAAGTATAATGATTTCTATTCTTTAAAAAGCAGAAATCGCCGTTAAATATGAGTGAGGCGATTTCTGTCGTAAAATTTTCCATAAAAATAGTACGACGTCGTTGAAATAAGACTGCCAGGAGCAAATACACCGGAAGCAGTTACGTTGGATGGTAAAAAAAAATTCCATAAAAGATCGTCTACGCCCACCTCATCAAAAGCACATTCAAGCTACGCTTTCGTAACGAAGAATCTCGAAAAGTTCATTCACAACATTCCATTTAATTCGTGATTTATGATACCGGGAGAAAGTTGAAGAAAGTGGCGGAAAGATTTGTTTGTATACCATATTTAAATTCAAAATACTAAAAGATTCAAATAAATCGTAATAAATTGAAGTTTTCTCTGAAAAGTTATTCAACTGTTTTTAGAACTTAAAACTCTGGAAATTTAAGAGACTATTAACGATATATTTTTTCATTAATAATTAATTCAAGTTATCGGTTGATCAGTTATAATGAGTTCAAATTTTGAATTGAAATTAGCTATTAACCATGACGAATTGAAAAAATCAGTTAAAAATAGCAATTAATCATATCTAACTAAAATTTGCAAATAAAACTATCAACTAAATATAAGAAATTGAAATTATTAATTAAAAGTAGCAATAAATTATAAAGAATTAAAATTACCAATTAACATTCATCAATAAACACAATGAATCGAAATTTTCGAATTAACGTTAATAATTAAACATATTGAACTAATCATTTCAATTGAAAGCAGTAATTAATCATAATGAACAAAACTTATCAATTATAATTAGTAATTAATAATTTCGAATTGAAATTTTCAGTTAAGATTAATAATTAATAACAAGCAATGAAAATTTGTAAATAAAACTAGCAATTAATCATAACGAATTAAAATTACTAGTTCAAAATAGTACAAAATAAAATCGAACTCAAATTTTCAATTAAAAGCAGTAATTAATCATAACAAACCAAACTTATCAATTAAAAATAATAATTAATCATCTGCAATTGAAGTTTTCATTTAAAATCACTAATTAATCGTAAAGAATAGAAATTTTTAATTAAAAATAATGATTAATCATAATGTATTGAAATTTACAATTCATTCAAAAGTTTGAGAATTTACAGGTGTATTTAAGAACGTAGAAACTCTATGATTAAAAATCTTCAATATTTCACAACTTAAAATCATAAAAATTGGAAAACGTAAAATCTCGAAAGTTTAAAAATATTTATCCATATTCATATTCGAAAATTTCAAAAAGTCACCTACGTAAACACTTGAAAAATAAGAAATCTGATAGTTCACATTAGAAACTTATAAAACTCATAAAAGGATAATTAAAGTATCCATAAATTATTACTAACGAATTCGATAAATTGTGATTTTTCACGGTTAATTAACACTAGATTCATAAAACTCGTAAAAATGACTAATATTACATTCCACATTTTCAGTTCCAAAAATTATTAACAAGATTTTGTCAGATATGTCAACTTTCATGAAGATAAAAGTTGCATAGCTCATTCATTATTTATTTACCCCCCTTTAATTTCAATTTAAAAATCATCAAACATAAATCCAGTGTTAAGAACGAAGATGGTAAAACTTCCAAACGCGAAATTCCAGGATGTAAAAATTGTTGGCGAAAGTTACGTAACAAAGCACGCGTTACCGATTCAACGTTTCTCATGGTAACGGGTCGTTCTGTCGCTTAGTGACCCCATTACTGGTACTTTTACTTTCCATCAATCTCCGTGGTATTCCGTGCATCAAACCCGGAACGTTTCTGTGCCAGTGAAAATGTCGGCGATGAATAAATTCAGCCCTGGCCGGGAACGGGAGCAAGAAAGCGACGATAGAATGCAACGAACAAAGAGCCTATGTGGAAATTGGAAACATGCCAGTGGCGCTATCATGCGGAGGGTGGCACAAGCTGCAAGGGGTGCAAGAGGGTGGCCAAGTAACGGGTGACATCTAGTCGCGGGGAAATATTGACCGTAAAAATGGCGTCTGCCGAACGATATGCAACGGAAATACTCTATTAGATGATCGCTGATGCGTGTTATTCGAAATTTTATCGTTTCTAAACGAAAAAGAATGAATTCCCTGCATACCGAGCGATTTTCGGTTCCCTTGAAATTCGATTAACATGTTCGACATGCGATCTGTTTATTTGAATGAGGGTAGTAATGTTGCGGATCTGTTGAAACGAATTTTTTAGTATTGTAAAGTTTATTGAAAATTTGTTTTGTTAGCATTAAACATGTTAGTGTATGGTTTACTCTTGATTTAAAACTAGTGAAATTGAAAAATAAATACGTAGTATCAATGTGTGATTTAAATTTAATTTGAAACTAGTAATGAAACTGAAAAATAAAGAAACTCTATTACCTTATAATTTACATTTATTTTGAAACTAGTAATGAAATTGAAAAATAAAGAAACGTTACTAGCTTATAATTTACATTTAATTTGAAGCTAGTAATGAAATTGAAAAATAAGGAAACACTAGTAGCTTATAATTTACATTTAATATGAAACTAATAATGAAACTGAAAATTGAAATAAATAAACATCACCAACATATAGTTTACATTTAATTTTAGAACTAATCATAACAACTTACAATGTACATACATATAATTTAAAATTGAAAATAAAACAGGAAAATAAATAAAGAAATGATTAAATTTAATTGGATACACACATCAATGCCTCATCTCAATGTTACTTAACGTAGATTTCAAGAAAAATATTTTAACAAACTTTATAATTTAAAATAAATTACTTGTGAACTGGTCATTTGGTTTGGTAGTTTTAGTGTTAAAATAATAACGATATTGAAAAATAAATAAACAAACGACAAAATTAATGTACATGGTAATTAGTCATTGCAATCAATATTATTTCAAGAAGATTTCAAGAAAATCACCTTATGAAATTGTGTAAATTATAATATACATATAAATTAAATTATAAATTAAATTATAAATTAAATTATAAATTAAATTATGAATTAAATTATAAATTAAATTATAAATTAAATTACAAATTAAATTATAAATTATGTCATAAATATTATGTCATATATATCAAACTATCATAAATCATAAAAATAACTAAATAATTAATAATACGTAAACCAACTAACACAATGTTCCTTCATCTCGATGAAGGTTAACATCTTGATGAAAGCTTCTCAATAATTTTTACCAAACGTAATGAAGCTCTGGAGATGACTCGATCTAACCTTGACAACATACTCTAAGGTCAAGGCCACTGGAGGGATCCTAAACTCCACATGTACCAAATATATTTTTGCAAATATCTCGAAAACTAAGAATAAACGACTAATGTATGTATAAAGAAAAATTGTTCAGAATGTAGTCCTTGATAGGATATCTCAACGTCAAAATAATTGTAGCACCGTAAACCTCGAATTTATAATATTTGTTAAATGCAGCGAGGTTCCTGGGACTCGATCTGCATTTGTTCATATGTTTCTCTGTACCGCGGGCCGCCATTTTGGTTCTTTCACTTGAAATTTTAAAGGCAGACTCACACCCTAAGTTTACTGTACAGATTTTGGCGGCGATCTGACAGGAATATGTTGTTATCGACGTCAATCGTCGTCGAATCAATATAAACCGTGTTTTGGTATCGTTTTCGGTAATTTTTAACACATAGAATCGACTGAAGGCACGTTAAAAACTCTATAACTCATCGTTGACAATACTTGGTCGCCATTAAGTCATCGTGAAATCAACAATAATCGTTTTTGATAGTGTCCGACACGTTGAATCGTTTGGTCGACTTTAAAATGTCTACGTCTTCCACCTAAACTAAATTTAAAATCTTGACAATTTGTCAATTTTTCAAATTAACATCCAAGGCACCTGGTCTATAAACTAATAATTAAAAATAAATCTCAGATCAATTTTGATGTATACCGTAAATCTAGTATTAATTTTAATAAGAGTGGATTTCTTACAAATTTCTGTAAGAACATTACAGACGTATTCAGCATTTTGGTCTCGTGGGTCACCGATGACCCACGGAAGATTTCGCCTTAGCTAGCGGTCGCTCAATAACTTGATTCAACAATTAAGTCTCGCAGCAAAACGATGGCGAACTACTACTTGGCTCAAGAAACCGTCGAGCAAGCAACTTTCAAAGTAATTTTGTTGGACTTACAAGGAAAATGGCCAGGAGGTTTCGAGCTTCTGTGACGGGCGCTTTTCGTGTTTCGCGGCATGTTGGTTCTCAATTCCATGGCAACTGTACAAAAGGGAAAGAAAAAATCACGATTAATTCCCCACCGTCTACGTAAACATAGATTCTGCAGCTTACGACGAGAGACGAAATTTAGTACAACTTCGAGAGAACCGGATAGTGATTCTTTAAAGTTGTAGAATTTCAAAATGAACGAGAAATTCACGTTCTTTATTCGATGTTGCGATCTCGATGAAGTGTTACGGGATTAATGGTAGGATTTCAAGATGTATACTTTTAATGTGCTATGTTATTGGTTTTCTTGAGTTCTGGGTTTTTCGATATTAAGCTTTACGAATTTTGTAAGTATCGAATTTCTGAATTTAGGAGTTTTTAAGGTTTTAAGCTTCTTGAGGTACTATAAATTTAGATGTATTAGATATACAATTCTCAAGATAAATTAAATTTTCAAATTACAAATCTTCTTGTTAAGCAATCTTTCATATTATTATGAAATTAAAAAATTTTTTTTATATTCAAAGTAGTATATTATCAAAACTAATGTTTTAAACATTCTAAATATTGTAATAATTGTAAATATTTAAACAACTGTTAATATTGCAAATGTTGCAAACGTTGCAAATGTTGCAAATATTGTACATGTTGCAAAGATTCTAAGTGTTGCAAATATTGTAAATGTTGCAAATTTTGTAAGTGTTGCAAATTTTGCAAATATTGCAAATTTTGTAAATACTAATTTTTAGTAAAATATTAAAAATATCAAATATAAAATATTAATGTATATTTTGCAATATTCAAACTCTTCAAATATTCATTTTGAAAATTTCCACTTCCACAAAAATTTCCTTATTCGCAAATATCCAAAATATAAATTCCTTCAGTTTATTATTACTCTTCTATCTGTAATTTTCCGTCTACGTTTTTTCTAATCTGTCCTAATTATTATTGTTTCAACAATTTTCGACCATCTCACGTGAATTTCTCACTCATTTCGAAGAGATACACATTCAGAAGCGACTTCGCAAGCAGCGGAAATTGATATCTTCTTTTCCAAGCCTGTAATGTGGCCTGTTTACATTTTGTTTTTCGCCTCGATCAAGCGTTTAAAGCAGATATCAATTTTATTGCCTCGAGGGTTAAAGATTATTCATGAAAATAAATTGAGTGGATTTAAAAGAGCAACGGAAGCTGAATATCGCTTAACGCATTGCGAGAAAGCGTTGCAAAATATATAAAAATACAGCGAAAGTACGTGTAACGTTTTTCTTGACTGATTTTTCTGTATTTCCCTTTTGTAGTTCGAAATAAAAGAATTTATTCTTACATTCAACTTATAACAGCTCTTATTTGAACGTCGGGTCTAATTTTAACTTTATGTCGTATTTCTTTAATTTTAAAAACGAATTCTGTTTTGAAAATTTATAAATAATATTAAAAATAGTTAGCAAGAAATATTAATAATATAATAGTAAGAAAAGTAACAAGTCATATATTCGGGTACAAATCCGAGAAACGCAAATCATTGATCACGCTGAAATAATAACCAAAGCTCACTCTTGATCAGAAAAGAAAGTCCTTGAAAGGATTTTTGGCGACAAAGCAACGTTTTCTTATCAGCCCCTTTCAAAGTTTTTTACATTCTTACTAAATATATCCGAAAATATTGATTTTAGAGAAAAAAGTTTCAAACAAAAAATGAGGCTTGTAAAAAGCTCTATAGAAAATATTATATACACTTTTGACGTAAACCTATTATTGTGGCTGTTATGAGCTAAAATAACTCGGCGGGGGTCAAATTGACTTCTACTCAGAACACTTCTATTAGCGTGGGTGTGAAAGGGAATTGTAAAGACCACCTTGCACTATCCCGTGTCTGTGTATATGTTCTATTCTACGTATTGTCTATACCTTGTCTACACCTTTTTTACGTTAATTTTTTCCAAGATACCTAACAGAAACTTTGAACATTTTTTTGAAAAAAATACCTTTTCTCTTCATCATAGCCAAAATAATAGGTTTATGTAAAAAGTGTATAGGACGTTTCTTGTAGAACTTTTTAAGAGCTTCATTTTTTGTTAAAAAATTTTTTCTCTAAAATCAATATTTTCGGAGATATTTAATAAAAACTGTGGGGACGGAGGGCTTTGAGCGGGGTAGGAGTAGGAACAAACTAGGCTTTGTTGCTAAAAATTCTGGCCGGGACTTTCTTCCCTAATTACGAGTGATGCTTGGTTAAAATTTCAGTGCGATCGTTGTTTTGCGCTTTTCGAAACTTTATCCATAATAAAATACTGTATAACATAATATACTTCTTTATTATTATTAAAAAAAAGTTAGTTCTTCAATTTTACAAACAGATTCAGTTTGAAACACTCAAAAATAATAATAACAAAAAATTAGAAAAGAAACATACGAGTTCTGTGTAAATAAATAAATAGTCTATGTACATAAATAAATTGTAATGCAAAATTTGATTACAATAAAAAATTACTTTTCCTCATTATTGCAATAAATTAATCCTTCCATTTTAAACACTTAAAAATAATATTAATAAGAAAGAAACATACTTATTCCACATAAAAAATTATTTTCGTCATTAAAATCACGATAAATTAATTCTCAAATTTTAGGAACGAAATCTTGATCTAAAATTGTTATGAAATAATAGCAATTAAAATTTGTAGAAATGGTGTGAAAGATCGTATCAGACAGATCGGAGAACTTGATTTTTACGAGAAACACCTGTTAGGTTTTATTGTCAGAATAAAGTACCACGCCGAGAAGATCAGACCTCGATCCTGCTTTCTATCGATGCAATAATATACCGTTTTCAGTTTCTGCGGTACACTAGCTTCAAATCGATAGATTCCGTAGCATCAATAACACCTCAGGACTCATTACATTCTATCGAGTTAGTTTACTATTATTCTCATCTGGCCGAACTCTTGATGGTAGGATTCATATTAGACTTACAAGGAAAGGCACGCAAGTGTCCCCCTCCGATTTTGACGAAACTTCGTACGTTTGTTAAGCAGGCAAAAATAAGGGACACGTATATTTTTTTGAAAATCCCGTAGAATTTTGCTATGCATTACATAATGAATCATTATGCCACATATGTAGTGACGTAGCAATTATTTCATGTGCATGGCGTCGAAAGCCATTCCAATCATATCTTCGAGCAATACCACCATTGCCGTGATTATGTTCCCTAACTTTTTCAAACTATTCGTTACCTAATAAAATTACATATAGAATACCTATGTATTTTAACAATAAATGTTATTTATAACGCAAATATAATTGTTTCTCATTTATGCTTATAAATAGCGTTGACTGATAGTGTAATATCGTCCGACTTGTTCCGGTTTAGCATCGTGCGGGGCGTCGGCGAGCGCGAGCGCGTAATGTTTATAATAAAAATCTGAGGCATTGTAGGAGGCAATATTATATATATATACCAATGGATTTGTAATAAAATTCTCTCCACTTTTTGTCATTATACAAATTTGAATAAATTGTAAAATAAGATTATGAAAAATTTTTTTGTTATAAATAAATTACATTTTACAAAATTCGTTAACATCCTCTTATTATACGCAAAAAGCCATACAACTTTTCTATTAGAAGTTTTAATGTATCTCGTGTGGTTTTCGAGATAGCCAAAAGGGGTCGTTTCACCCCTTAAATCCGCGTCTCAGCCGATAAAAAAAATACGTGTCCCTTATTTTTGCCTGCTTAACAAACGTACGAAGTTTCATCAAAATCGGAGGGGGACACTTGCGTGCCTTTCCTTGTTAATAGAGTTAACTACAGTTTCCTTCTAAGCTTGCTATTACGTGGTTTTCGGAGAATATCACCGCAGTCACTCGGATTTCCATTTCCCCAATTTGTGTACCCAATAGAAATCAGGAACTCAGCCTTGCTCGTAAAAATTACACACACCTCCATCTTGTGAAATAAGCAATTGAACAGATAGTCACGAAATGGACGGTTCACTTCGGAACATTCTACACATAACATTCGCTCCGGAACATCGGATAAACAGTCGTTCAGTTTGAACATCGTTAAAAATAAGTAGAAACATATCGGTTATACAATTATCCACTTATGAATATCGACTTCAAACTATATGAAGCGTCCTACGTTTAATCGTCGCTGAATATTGCTCCTCTGAGGACCTACGTGGCCCAGGTCAAAGTGGTTCGTATCCATAAAATTGTCAGCAGTTCCAGACTACCTCTTAGGGCACGTCTACATTATGCCAGTAACTGGTGCTAGTCTTGCCAGTATTTAGTCGAATTTTTGCGTTTCTTTGCCTGTACCAGGTTAGAAAAAGGTGAGAAAGTAAAGAAACACAGCAATATTGCAATAAGTAATTGAACAGACACGAAATGGATACGAGAAACATTGGATACATAGACACGTTGCTTCAGAACATCAGATTTCTTAATTATTGTTAAAAATAAGTAGAAACATATCAGTTATACAATTAATCTACACTCCATAAATATAAGGACTTCAAGCAATACGAAGTCCACAATGTCTTAAATTCACAACTACTCATCCTGTAACATACGTAATAAAAACGAAATTGAATCGTTCATTAATAACTTGTGGAATGTTGATCAGTAATATCAAGTAGGATATTGAATACATTAAATCTTGTAAAATATTAAATACATTAAATCTTGTAGAATATTGAATGCATTAAATCTTGTAGAATAATGAATACATTAAATCTTGTAGAATGTTGAATACATTAAGAAAGTGAGGACATAAGCATAATTATCAATTAGCTGAATGAGTACGCAATTATGTTTGAGAACTCTGTTATCTCGTGACAAAATTCACCTAGAAACAGGTGAGAAAGTAAAGAAACACAGCAATCTTGCAATAAGCAATCGGACAGACACGAAGTAGACATGGGGTTCGGAGCATCGAATACGCGTTGTTCGGAACATACATACATGTACATCTATGTATACATAGTTCAGTTTGGAACATCGTTAAAAGTAAGTGAAGACATCAGTTATACTATTATT